TCTGTCGCTTCTCCGGACCACGGACCTCCTCTACCCGGCTCCTTCTCCACCACGCAGGTCGATGCACAGTCTCCTACTAACTGTATGTACAAACTCTGTTCTTCCTCAGTACTTTCCACCACGACCAGCCCAGGAGTGAGTCCCAGCGTCCGCAGCCCGGTCTTCTCCTCATCATTCAGCCACTGACTGTATTCACTTCTGCAGCTCGACACCCGGTCCCACTTCTACCTGATTATTCATTTCCTTGTTATATTTCACTGTAATTAAACTTAGCACTGCTTGCACTGAGGTCAGCTACCTGGGTCTGTCATATTTTTGTGAATCGCTCACCCCTGTGTTTGAGCCGATCTAACACAAAGAAAAACGTCACAAATTCACAAATTCAAGTTTTCAGTTTTCAGTACTTTTGGACATTACTGAGACATAAAATTGATCAACTGACAGAAAAATGACAAAGTGTTACAGCTTGTGAGGGTACTGGTTGGGTTCTATACAAAGTAACTGATACCCTGCTTTAGCAGAACTTGTAGAGTCACTGCCTTTACCTTGCCAAAGTCTCTGTGTGCACTTTTAGTCTTTCCACTTTATTTTCTATGTAGCAGCTCAATATTTACATCTTGATGAATTCCAAAAATCAGTTCAATCCTCTTCGGTCTCTGGTCATGGGAAAGAGCTGGTCACATTCAACAACAATAGACTGTTTTTAAAAGTCATATTTACATACAGTGCCACTGTATGTAAATGTCCATGACACTCAAAATTGAGCTCTGGTGCATCCTGTTTCCACTGATCATCCTTGAGATGTTTCTACAACTTGATTGGAGTCCAGCTGTGGGAAATTCAGTTGATGACATGATTTGGAAAGGCATACACCTGTCTATATAAGGTCCTACAGTTAACAGTGCATGTCAGAGCACAAACAAAGCCATGAAGTCCAAGGAATTGTCTGCAAGTCTCTGAGACAAGATTGTGTCAAGACACAGATCTGGGGAAGGGTACAAAAAAAAATCTGCAGCATTGAGGGTCCCAATGAGCACAATGGCCTCCATCATCCACAAATGGAAAAAGTTTGGAACCACCAGGACTGTTCCTAGAACGGGCCGCCCGGCCAAACTGAGCGATGGAGAGAGAAGGGCCTTAGTCAAGGAGGTGACCAAGAACCTGATGGTCACTCTGAAAGAGCTCCAGCATTTCTCTGGATCAAGGCCTGTATGGTAGAGTGGCCAGACGGAAACCACTCCTCAGTAACAGGCACATGGCAGCCTGCCTGGAGTTTGCCAAAAGGCACCTGAAGGGCTCTCAGACCACGAGAAACAAAACTCTCTGGTCTGATGAGACTAAGATCGAACTCTTTGGCCTGAATGCCAAGCGTCATGTCTGGAGGAAACCAGGCACTGCTCACTACCTGGCCAATACCATCCCTACAGTGAAGCATGGTGGTGGCAGCATCATGCTGTGGGGATGTTTTGCAGCGGCAGGAACTTGGAGAATAGCCAGGATCGAGGGAACGATGACTGCAGCAATGTACAGAGACATCCTTGATGAAAACCTGTTCCAGAGCGCTCTGGACCTCAGACTGGGGCGACGGTTCATCTTTCAACAGGACAACGACCCTAAGAGCACAGCCAAGATAACAAAGGAGTGGCTACGGGACAACTCTGTGAATGTCCTTGAGTGGCCCAGCTAGAGCCCAGACTTGAACCCAATTGAACATCTCTGGAGAGATCTGAAAATGGCTGTGCACCGATGCTCCCCATCCAACCTGATGGAGCTTGAGAGGTATTGCAGAGAAGAATGGCAGAAAGTGCCCAAAATAGGTGTGCCAAGCTTGTAGCATCATACTCAAAAAGACTTGAGGCTGTAATTGGTGCTAAAGGTGCTTCAACAAAGTATTGAGCAAAGGCTGTGAATACTTATGTACATGTGATTTTTTTTCCATTCAATCACTTTCTACCGCTTAGTCCCTGAACAGGGTCCGCTGTAACCTGACAAAATGTGGAAACATTTAAGCGCTGTGAATACTTTCTGGATGCACTGTATCTACTCTATGTCTGTGTTTAAAGTGTAAAAAGTATTCAAAAAGCAAGATTAAACAATTTTTGTGCCATGCATAAATCTTATTCCTGTAATTAACAATTAAGATAGTTGTTTAATCATTTAAGTCATCAAGTGAAAGCTGGACATTAACAAGTTGCAGCTTCTCAGATCTGATGATTTTCTGCTTTTCTATGATTTATATAGTGAGTGTAATATTTTCTGAGTTTAGACTTTGACTTGTAGACTAAATTATCTGAAAATCAATTAACAGATTTATCAATCAATACTGAAAACAAAAGTTAGTTCTAGGCCTAAATATCACCATCATTTTTTTCTGGTTGTGAGAACCTACTGTTGCTCAGAGAGCCACAGGAAACATCCTCATTTGGACAGGAAATCTGTCAAGAGATATCAAGGGTTTCTATAAGCATAAACCTCAGTAAGGCCTAAACCACTGTCTATGTATCTCAGGTAAACACAGCCACTGAAGGAAGTTGTACCTCTATAAGACAAGACTGCCAGAAGATCTTCCCTCCAAACTTGAAACCTTGAGCTGAGATCTCGCTGCTATCCAGCAGATCGGTACAGCAGCTGTGTGTGGGAGGACACTCCCCATGCTCTTACATTCACCACACACCACACTTGTCAAAAATAACATTTTCTTGCATGTGCTCTTGAATAAGTTACACAGTGATGGTTGCTCATATCAAACTATAAGCAATTTCTCTTACATCTTTTAAATATTTCAGCATTCAACAAATTCCTTTCACTAATTCCCAGATTTTCAATGTAGCCTTTATAACCAGGAACTCTATTTTATGACACAGTTTTATAGAGGAATCATAAAGTCTGTTCTCTGCACTTCTATCTCTCTGGTTTGGGTCGGCAACCAAACAGGACAGAAACGAAAAGGAAAAAGTCTGCAGGAAAAAAACCCATCTGTGCCAGCCTGGATGACCTGCACACCTCATGGGTCAAAAGGAAGAGAAATTTTCTGCAGTCAGTCTGTCCCCATTTTAATACTAGTTAATCAGCAAC